TACACCTGCTGGCAGCCTAACACAATACGTTTCATTGAGTGATTGTAAAATAGAAATATGTGTCATTAAAAACAATTATGAAGTAATGAGTATTAAGCAAAAAAAAAAAAAAAAAGAAAAAAAAAAAAAAAAAAGAAAATGCTGTAAATCACTTTTCTTTGCGAGAACTGTATTTTTGTGTAATTACCGGATATATTCTGCTTGCAAAAATTCATTCTCGCATATATTAAGAACGATTAAATTCAACATGTTCAATGAGAAGCAAATATTGAATTTTTTGTCTCTCTCTTATAAATTCCAAATAACAATCTCGAAGAAATGTGGTGTCAATCTTGAGGAAATAAGGTGTCATGAAAATTTTGTGATCTATGATATATAATTAGAAAAATATATATTCATCCATATCTCATTATATTGTAGACGAACATAGTTCTTTATGACTTTTAAAAAAGTTAAACATGTATGTTAGCATCCATGTACAGATAATTACAGATAATTTGGCATCGTCAGTGCCAGAGAATATTACGTCTTTGGGTAATTGCCATATTCAACATACTTATTAAGGATAAAGGTAAATTTTGTTATGTAATTTTGATTTGTAGAAACACGAAGAGATTGTGAAATACAATGGTTTAACCAGAACCTCAGTTAAGGAAGGTGGATGCGCCTCATACCCTTCTGATTTAGTGGCTCCTGACTCTGTCGACTGGAGATCCAAGGGTTACGGCACAGACATCAAGAATCTGGTAGGTTTTTACAGGTCTTGACATAAAACTCCATGTTTCACATAGTAAGTACTTATTCAGCCTTGTCAAAGGGAATAATTTTCATTTATGAGGTTTAACATCCTTTCATTAAAAAAAAGTTTCTCTTTGTCTTCATTTAGAGTCAGAATGGCTATATATTACTGGTCTTTTAGCTCAATAAGTTTGAATTTTAAATCATCATTTGAATTACACTCTTCTTCATTCTTCTTCGTCATTCAAGCAATTTAAAAAATGAAGATGATACAGGGTTTTCAACAACCTATATTTAAATTCAGCATTTGGTAAATTCTATGGTCGTTATAATGACCTTGTAAACAAATGTAATCCATCATTGGGTCGAATTATGGTTGATGTGTTTCATACCAATTGTTAGGCCTTTGTATTTGTACTAAATTTGACTACGGAATGTTCCGTATACATGATCAATACATAGGGCTCAACGGGGGATACTTACTACTCCTGGGCACCTGATCCAATTTTCGGGGGTCACTGTTTTATGACCGTTCGCAGATTTGTTTGTAGATTTTTTTTAAGATCGACCACTGTTTGTAATCTTCACCATTTTCATCAAAAAAGCATTCATATTAGAGAGAATCTGAAAGATGAGGATTTTTTTTAAACTGGATCCCTTAATTATAAATGAATTTTACATTAATTATTAACTAATTTATAGCATGTCACTTCATAGAAAGAGACATCACTTTTCTAGGTGAACCTAAAACGAAATTTAACGTTACCTATCTTTATACGGTGTAAATTGAAAGTTTGCAATTTGTCACTCAAAAAAGTCATTGTAAATGACCGATTGAAGTTGTGACTGAGTTGTGATTGAAGTCTTGACTGTGCAAGTACGTTTTAGGAGATGTGTGAATTTGTCCTGTGTGACAAGCCAAAGCTTTTCTTAATACAAGTAATTTCTTTATGGATCTGTGATGAATTTATTCATAATAGATCACTCTTAGATTTTTACACTTGAATGCTGAGCGGCTTATAAAGAGAGAGAACTATATTTCTTTAATTTTTTTTTTTATTTTATAATTTCTAATAATATCAATCATATCCACCCCAAACTGAATTGATTATTGTTGAAAGAGATCTAGATGTATCTGTTTAAAATCCTTGAATTAATACCTTAAGCTTCTTTTTTATTCAAAAAATATTTTTGACATCAAAAGAATCTTCTGTGTATAAAAAAAATTCTGCTTATTCATAAACACTGTACATTTTGTGATATTTGTGAAGTTTTTAACATCAGGGTTTTTTTTTCTAAATTACTGTGAAAAAAACCGTTGAATTTTGTATTTATCATTTGTCATTTAAAAACAGTTCATTGAATAAAATACTTTGAAATTTAATTTCAATCAAATATTCAGTGTTTATTCTTTCACACATTAATTTAAGTAAAAGTAAACAATAAGGGTAGAAAAAAACCTTATTTTACTATCATTATGTAAACAGATATAAAAAATAATTCGATCATGTCATTATGTTTCATTGTACATAAAGTCAGTACAATAAAATGTTATCTCCAGTTTCAGCTTGATGGGGGGAAATTCCTACTTAAAATTCCTTATTGAATAATAGGCACTTCTCATTCTAATGGTTTAATACTTTTATGCATACCTGGCTCTTGAACTGTATATTTTAGATTGCTGACATACAGCTTTTGATTTGTGAACAGTATCTTTTTTAATTTGTAGACCGTATCTTGATTAAAACTTATGGAAAATCAATAACGCACTGAAAAGTGTAAAACAATGTTAAATATGGCATATTTACTTAGATATTTCGTGCTTTGCCTGTTAGAAGAGTTATTAATTGCTTTTTCATTGATAAACAACCACAATATTGGAAACTTGACTGGAGAATTAGTGACTGATGATGCATTGGAAAATATAGACATCTTCCGTCAACTTCTTAATCAAGAAACTATTATTCAAATGGCTTTAGTACAAAACGTTCAGTCTTTAATGAAAGACATGCTTACAATTAAGAATTCCATGCTCGTGTCGGAAATAACTATTGAAAAATTCAAACTTGCAACCGAAAAGACAATTTCCAAATTAGAAGCTGAAGTAGAAAAGCTAAGACTGGAAAACCACCGTCTAAGGAACGATAATGCAGAGATTAAAGAAAAAATTCTTCGCTCTGTAAATGGAACGTTTCAAATGGTCCAAGACTCAATTTTACAACCAGAAACAACTCAACAAAGTTTTGAACGGCGGTTGGAAGAGATTGAAGAAAAAATAATTCTCTCTGTTAATGAAACATTTTAGATGGAGAAAGACTCAATTTCACAACTAAAAAAAAATCAGCAAAACTTTGGACGGCAGTTGGAGGAAAAAATTAATACAAAATTTAAACAAATTGACTTAGATTTACAGGTCATTGAAGCAAGGAAAACAAATTTATCTTCCATTGCAAATTTAGAGACATCCTTGTCAAACGTTTTAACTCAAGTGAGAAGTAAGTATTGTGTATTACAAAGAATGTAATTAGTTTTATGATACTTAGTTTTTGATACTTTAAAGATCTTTGTGCAAGTGAAGCTTTCCTATAGAAATACTACCCCCATTGGGGCAGCATTGAATAAAAGATTTTTCATTTATCTATTTTCTCATGACAAATTTAAGGAGGACCGACCCTCTGTAAGAGAGGTAACTTCCTAAGAAAATAATCCTGAAATTACCCATAGTTTGTCATAGCAGAGTTTAGAAAGGGAGACCTTTGAATAGTCAATTCAATCAAATCCAACACAGGACGGAAACATTGACTTCTGTTTCTTTTTGCCTATATTTTCCATTGTTAAATATGATTTTATTTGATCAAAACATTTGCATCCAGATTTTTAACTCTTAAAAATTGATACTTTTTTTAAACAATTTAAAAATTGCAGTAATGCATCATGTACCTTATAAACAATTTTATAAGTCTATTGTTTTATATTTTGAAGAAAGATAACTTTTTGATGGACTTATTTTTTTATAAACACAGAAAACAATGTGATATTCTGACTCAAAAGCAGCCCTTTATTATGTTTTCTAATAAGAATTTAATATGATACTAAATACGATTTTTGTATATACCTTATATTTTAATTTTATGCTGTGAAAATTATTAATTGCCTTTCCTATTCTCTGTGTCAAACGTTCTTCATATCATGGCCAGACATTAAATTCTTTTCTGAAAAAAATAAGCACCGCTTTATACCTCATACATTTCCATTTGAATCTAATATATGTGTTGATAAGAAAGTTTTTAAAAAAAATTGTGAAATTTAGAGCAGAGAACCATTGCTCCTTAAGTTTCTCCAGCATAATGTCTCCAGCATAGTGTAGCATGAATGAAAGGGAAAACTCCCATTTCTATTTTACGCTGCAATATAAAGAGTTTCTAGTGTTTGATGACAAAGAATTAAATTAGGTCTTGTCATATACATTACTTATGTGTTGCTTCGATTGCAAATTTAACAAATTAGAAACTTTAAATTTTTTTTTTTTACCTAAACAGTTTTTGTGCTAAGAATTATACCGCAAGGTTTGCAGAGTTACACAGAAAGGACCTTGATTTTATACATGCGACCCTGCAACCTTGTCAAAGCATTAATTACCTTGGCTCTTCCCTGCTAATCGTAGGTAAATATTGTGCAAAGATTCATATTATATTCAACATAATACAGTTAATCTCCGACTCCAACTTTACTGTTATTTTTTTCAGTGACCTTAACCTAGTAAAAATTAATACGGTACTTTGTTTCATAGTCATGGCGCACAAGGATGTCATAAGCAATATCTGTGCCGATATTTTAATAGTCCAGCTATACAAGGTTATATTTTTCTTTTGTTACGATGGCCTCATATGAATTATTTCAATTAAGAGTCATAAACACCATAAGATCGTAAGTAGCTTCTGGCCATTTAAAAGGTGTCCATTGTAAAATTATACCCCGGATTCAAAGTGAAACGGACAAACAGATTGGCTGACAAATTTTATAACTAAGGTCTATGGTGATGGAGGGTGGGGGATTAGAGGGTTAATAAACTTTTTCCTAACAAATAAGTCGACGGTATTGGTTTGCATTTTGTCACGAATGTTGAAAAAAATCAGTTAAAGTAAACATATATAGGGTTACATAACTGTAGTTGTAAAATCATGATCAATAAATTACATGTACATATTTCATTTATTGACAGTCTCCATGTACTTATAAAACTTCTGAATAATTACTTGTAGACCTGTCAAAGAGAGTAGCCTTCACAGCCGGGGTGACCGTTTCTAACCCTTCTTGGAACAGTGGGACATTAATATTCAATAAAGCTATCAACAACGTGGGAGGAGGATATAACACTCACACCGGCATCTTCACTGCACCAGTATCAGGAGATTATGTTTTCTATGCTACTATCCAAACTTACGGTCGCCACTATGTTTATGTAGACATTGTGTTAAATGGGTCGAACAAGGTCAGAGTCGGGGCTCAAACTTCTAACCATCATGATGACACAGGTACAAACCTGGTAACATTACGGCTACAGCAGGGGGACACAGTATGGATACGACATAGCATTGGTTGGGGATATCATACGCACATTGCCTCTCCCCTGACCACATTCTCTGGATTTCTTATCTAAACAATGAATTTTTCATAAATATGTATTGTTTTGAAAATATAGTATGCATAGTATGCCTACTAAAAATGCAATAGTGTGTTTTGGCTTCTATCATTCACCAGCATAATTACATATGTTTATGTTTCCCAGTTGATCAACTACCGAAGAGCATGTTCAAGGTACGAACATATTTCTTAACAGAGGCAGCCACTGATAAATAAGTTGATGATACAAGGGTATTGATAATGTCTTTTAAAGTCACATTTTGCAAATCCTATGATCAATTCCATGCAATAATTTGTAAATATTTGCAAATGCAATCTTTCCTTATGTTGAAAATTAACTAACAATTTAATACAAATTGTAAGGCCTGAATTGTGTACCGTTTATGACAGAGGTTGTGACCGGTTGACATGAGTTGCTCACTCATGCTTATGCAACCTCTAAGTAAGATCTCAAAACTACTCAATTGAATCAAGAGTATAGTATGAACTGTTAAAGCTTATGTAAAGTTTTCCTTATTCGATATGATGACAGTGTTATGTAGTTTTCAAATTGTTGTCTAGGGTGTCGCTTTGTTTACTACTGTGGTGACGTTTTATAAAATTTGGCATTTTCACCTCACCAATAGTCAGAAATTAGGTGTTGTTATATAAATCTACAGTAAATAGGTGAAGATAATGAACAATGATCAATCTTAAAAAAAAACAATACAAATCTCTGAACAGAGCATAAAACACGGACCCCCAGAAATGCCAGATGTTGGATCAGGTGCCTAGGAGGAGAAAACATCCTTTAACCGGTTACAACCGCCGTGAGACCTATGTATTGATCTGGTAGACGGAACATTCCGTTGTCTAATTTAGTATTTAAAAAACAAAGGCCTAACAATTGTATCATTACGTGTTTTTAAGAGATCTGCCACCCCATTAAATTATTAATCTTTGAAAATAATATTTGTTGAACTTGCCACTTAAATAATTCCAAAAATATTGTTTATTTAGAATTCGAACTGGGAATATACAATTACCTATTGAAACTGGAAGATGGTTAAACATCCCTTGAGAGAATAGCATCTGTAAATTATGTAAATGCAATAAAATTTGGGATCAATTTCATTACTCATTTAAATGTAATGATGTATTTATAAAGAACTCTCGAGTTATATATTAATCAAATTATTTTCAATCGAATTCAAATGATTTTGAGATTTGAAATGCTTTTTTTAATATAACAAATATTAATCAACTTAGAAAATATGTAAATTGTTGAATATTATAATTAATTGAGAGAATTGGCTCTCTTGATTAATTACACTCTGTTATCCCTTCTTCAGGCATGCTATTTTTTCTGTTTATTATATTGTTTGTGCCCTTTGTACATACTGTATCTTTTCTACACTATTTTTTAAGTTATGAGAATAAAGTTCATTGTCATTTCAAAGATGCCAGGGATGGCCGAGCTCAATAATAATTTTAAAAGACAGGTACAAATTAAACCGGTAACATTATACTCAGCAGAGGGGAGGGGGGGGGGGTATAGGTAAGGCATTTTTATTTAAGTTGAACAAAATACGTTAAAGCCCCAGTCACAATGTTCCAATTTGAGTGACATCGGCACGATTGTAGTTCTACCATGGCTTATTCATTGCTGGAGCTTGATTTGTAGTAGACGTAACTTGTACTCAGGGGACGTGGTTTAAATTGCAAGTTCTTACTCCATAAAGAAGTCTTTTTCACAGTATCCTTAAAATCTCTTTAACCTCTTAGGTAAAGGAAAGGGTGAGACTTCAACCACTTCACCATGTCTATTTTTTGTTTGCCGCTTATGTGCTATATTTTTTTTTTTTGAATTGCTTCATCGCAGTTGAGAAAGCTTGAGTAGAAATAGGATTCAGGTCTTCTTCTTCTACGAGGAACGAAATTGGAAAAAATTAACCTCAATACTATCTTTCACACTTTTATTTCTGTAATTTTCAATGAGATTCAGTTTGTTTTGACTCTGATTGAGTCCAGAATGTTGGAGTTCGGTAAGATCTTTTCGTTGGCAGGTCTGCAACCTTGTTAAATCATGTTGTGAACTCGTCGGGAGATCTTCAATTCGTGATCAAACGTAGTAAAATCGTAAATAAACATAGCAAGATCTTCATAGTCCGTAGTCCAATTGCCCTGAATCTTAGATAAACCTCAAGATTGTAATGTATCCCTCGAGGAAAGTCATGATACCGTATAAGTGTGTATAAAAGTCCTCATGATACTGGATAAACCGTAACGGTGCCTAGAATGATTACAGCTTCCGAAAGAATACTTTGTCACGCCAATTTTTACCTAGAAGTTGCCATTTTTAATTATTGACAGCATATAGTTGTGGATGATCTTGTCTTGAATCGGGAATGTGTGACTAGTACTGAACGTTCCTGTTAAGGTCAAGGTCTAGAAAATGAAGAGTCCTACAGATTTTTCAAATTTGAGGAAAAAAATCCTTTTATTATCCATTACAATTATAGCTTAATAAATTAAGGTGTGCCGGGACCTTATTTTTAGATAAACTCAACGATAAACCATATTCTAAACTGCCCTTTTCAATGAAAAATGGAGAAAATCAGGCATAAAAATAGGAGTTTTCTCCATCTCAGACAAAGAAAATGTATCAATATTGCCTACAGTCTCTCAGAAAACGGTTTTTCGTATCTTCTTGGCCTCTTCTTTAAAATGAAAATAGGTATCGGGGTTCCTTTTGACATGATTTCAAATTGAATTCCAAGTAAATGCGTCATTTTCTACATAATTCTGATTAGTCCGTAAAGTATGGGAAAAAGTAAGTCTAAATCAATTATTACTTCATAATGGATCTAGCATCAAAAAAGACTTTAGTCATTTACTACATATTGACCTTAAGTCTTAACATTTACATTCACTGAATATTATCTCCTTTATTTCTTAGAAGACCATTGTCGTTTATCACTCAGTAAACGCAGCTAAGCATATCACCTCTACAGACGTCTTGAACAGTGGCTGTTCCATAAATGAAACGTACAATGACATACATATCAATAACAAAATATTTCATTTACCAAATCCTACTTTAAGGTCAAGATTTAGTATAGTTATATAAGTTTAGACTGTCCTTTTGAAGCTAGATCAATTATGACGTCATAATTGATTTAAACTTAATTTTTCCCATACTTTATGGCTGTAATAGAATTACGTAGAATATATGTATGAAGCATTTTCAAGAAATTCAGTTTGAAATCATGTCGAAAGTAACCCCGATACCTATATTCAATTTAGGTATGTATAATATAATATAATAGAGGTCGAGAGAATACGAAAAACCGTTTTCTGGGAGACTGTGGGCAATATGGATACATTTCCTTTTTCTGAGATAGAAAAACTCCAAAATTTATACCTGACTTCCTTTCTTTTTTCATTGAAAATGACAGTTTAAATTATGCATTTTTTCGTTGAGTTTACCTGAAAATTGCGTCCCGATACATCTTATTTTACCAAGCTATATTTGTAAAGGATCATTAAAAGAACAAGTTTCTCAAACTTGAAAAATCTGTAGGCACCTTTCGTTTACTAGATCTTGACCTTAAATGATTATTTGTACAGATATTAATTAGGGATGTCAAATCGGTCAATTTTTGATAATCGGTTACTCGGACGTTCTTCCGATCGAGTACCCGGGTACTCGGTAAAAATGTAAATACAAGTTTGTTAATTTTCAATTGTTAATTTGTAAAACCCCAAAGCTGTTTTAGTCATTTTATGAATGTATATAAACATGGAGTCCAACGGAAATTTATTTATTAAATAAACACAAATGACGCAATTAATACATCAAAAATTACTTATTTTGAAGTGGGTAGCGGCATTTCTATGCACGTCCGATTTCGCTGCCGTATATTAACTAAATAATGTAAAAATGATTTGAAGATAAAAGACCATATTAAACGATATGTTCACTGAAAAACAATCATTGAAGCCATCAAAAAAATTAAGGACCACAATAGGTGAGAACAGCTGTGTACCAGGTGATTGGTCACTAATTACTGTATATACACAGCCATAGGCGATAACGCGTGTTAACATGTGTAGAAAACGACACGCTAATTACCCTTATGCATATTTAAGTTATTTTTTGATAAGATTTTGATAAAAATATGTACTTTGAAATAAGAAAAAATACACATCCGAGTAACCGAGTACCATTTTTAGTATTCGATACTCGGACGTTCGATCGAGTATCCGGTTAATCGGGTACTCGTTGACATCCCTAATATAAATATATCACTGGGTTCACAGGAGCGTGAAAGTCAGTCAATATATCGGGTCTCAGTAGCTCAGTGGTTAGAGCGCTGGCACGGTACGCCAGAGACCCTGGGTTCGAGTCCCGGTTGAGACTTGATTTTTCACCACCTGCGACATTTGGCACCCAACGTTCAAATACCCACTATTCCCTAGGATCATGCTTTACAGCATTTCCTTAACTCCTAGAGTTCGAGGACGAATTTCTACAAAGAGGGAGGATATGTCATTGGGTTCACAGGTACGTGAAAATCAGTCAATATATCGGTCTCAGTAGCTCAGTAATTAGGGCGCTGGCACAGTATGCCAGAGGCCCTTGGTTCGAGTCCCGGATGAGACTTGTTTTTTCACCACCTGTGACATTTGCGAACCACGTTAGGCTCCATTGTAACGGGGTTTTCCATCATAGAAATAGAAAAGGCAAATCCATAGATGAAGGTTCACAAATATTTAATTTCATGACAAATATCGAAGAAACGATGAATAAATAAAGGTGAAACAAAGGTGACCTGAAATGAAAATGACAAATTCATACAAATTCACTTGCACTAATGTTTATTTAATCTCAATAGTTTAAAATCAATATTAATTTATTTCTTACCAGTTTAATAGCATTCAAGATCCCGGTAGATTTATCGCACGAGAACATCGACCAATAATTAAAGTAATGTCCAGATTTAAAGAAATAGCTCGTGCATAAGTATTTATACTAGCACTCACACATGCGCACAAAGCAACCACACCCCATTCATACTGATTATACCTCTCTCACCCAGGACGATAGTCCACAAGACAATCACGTGACATCCAGACACAATCACTTGACACAGAACGCCTTACAAACAAGAATACAATACAAACTCGATGACAATGACCACTATAAATGAATGAATGATGAATGAATGAAACTTTACTACAACTATCTACTATTTAATATACTAGCTGTACTTTTAAGTAGTTATTCTAAATAGAATAAAACAAGTAATTATAATAAAATGGTTTGTTATGGTACAGAAATTAATGTTACAGCTATTGCAGGAAAAACATTTCTACAAAAGCTGCACCGTTAATTCCTGAGCTAACACTAAAGAAACTTTTCATTGTTTAAATAAATTCTTTTGTCAAAATGATTAACTCAAATTTGACATGAAATTGCATAACTGACTAACTCAAAAATCATAATTTCATATCCCCTGGACAAGACGACCATGTCTACATTTGTGCCGTAAAGATATCCTGATATACATAGAAAAATTCAAATTCATTAAATGTGAGTGATTATACAGTACCCTTGCCAAATACAGTGCATTAATAAATTAAATGAATAGTACAAATACTACGATAATTGAATTTGTCCTAAAAAGTTCTCAGAGTCAGAAAAGATACTTTGATACGTGCTTACAAATTGTTATACCTGTAAACTTGTTTAAGACGGTCAGCAGCACGCAACGTCATTTCTTTAAGGCAATTCAATGCTAACACGTCTTTCTCATCAGTTGGAAGAGGTTCCTTGAAGTAATTGGACATCGGCAGAACATTTTTCAGTGGTATCTGTAACTTCTCAGCCACAGCTCTGCACTTTATTTCTACGGACTTACTGTGAAATATGTCCTGCAGGCGATTTTTCTCGCCGATAGGAAGAGTGTCAGTCTTGCAAACGATTGCAAGCACTGGAATGTCTAAATGGAGAACAAGATTAAGGCAACTTAATTTACAGATCAATTTTTTTTTCACAAATTACTACCGTCAGGAAAAAAAATATTATCTAAAGAAACAACTTCCAGTACACGGGTCAGTTTTAGTGCATTTTTTCATTACTAAGCCGTTAACTAATTAGAAACCCATAATAAGATAGGATTATTGTGCAAAGCACTGCTCTCATCTATGATATCAGTTGAAACTATATGCTGTCTTAAGACAGTAATACCTGCACTAAGGTGTTTGCCTCTAAATGCACACTCTTTCATATTTGGGTAACCAAGGAAAAAGCCAAAATAATTCTATAATTTACACAGTACATGTTTTTGTCAAATCGAGCATTAAATGCTAGGGTGAATATGCGATCCATGAGCCTCTCATGTAGATATTTCATATACTTAATTCATTACCAGTCTGAAATTCCAGAATTTAATTTATGATGTAAATTATGTTTTGAAAAAATGGGGGATATAAATTTTTGGCTCTTAAAATTTATTTTCTGAACAACAAATAATATTATTCTAATGCAAAGCCTTTTTGATGAACTTAAAAAAAAATTAGATGCCAACTTTCAGAATTGATCAAATTGTGCAAACTATATCTTGAAAACCCACACCCTATCAATGTTGTCACAAACACCCCCCCTTCCACAATTTGCCCTTTTTTGGAAATAAATAGCAAAGTTACGTTAAAACTCGTTTGTAATGATAATATTAAAGTACATGTACCATACATGTATGTGTATACGTTTTTGAAAATTTCTAAACCCGCGCCACACATTGGACTTGCGTCACCCTATTAGTACTAGTTTTACCATCATCATTATGGGATTGCACATGGTGCATGGTGTACACATCATTGCATGTATATCAGTAGGAATTAATTCATTGTGTGTTTTAATTGGATTATATTTCATGAAGTTGACATCCTATAACAGTCGGTAAGTACAAGTTTAGTTACAGATTGGGGTAAAATAATCTGAAATGCAAATGGTTAGGTTATAGTTTAAAAAGGATCAAAGATCATCGTATGCCACAATAGACGAATTTCACATTCTGACGAGTTATCTCCCGTAAAGCTCATTTTTCTCACTTTAGTCCTTTGTAAGTTAGCCTGTAAATATTACCAAACTTCAAATGCTATCGGACAATTTTGATCCGTTCCTGTATTTCCAGATTATGGGGCAACATGAAAAACGTAATGAACATATTCATATAATATGTATAAATTTCATTCTAAGAGTCAGGGAAAACAGTGCCTTACGCCGTTTGACCCCAGATTGACTCCGCAAAGGGATTATTAAAACTATGAAAGTAATTTTTGTATTATACAATAAAATTTTTTGCACAATTCTCTTATTCTATTAACTCTTCAAATACATTATTTACAGTGATTAATTATCAAAAGTGAATTGCAAAGGGGAATAATTCTCTCAGTAGTATACAGATTAATAGAGCCCTGGCCAGGACCAGAACACTTGACCAAATGGTCCAGATGCTTAAAAAATTGATAAAAATATCCTTGCTTATTAAAACTTTTACTTCGTTTGCCTTTGATATGCCAAGGAGCACAGAAAATTTTTTCAAAGAAATAATGCATTTTCACTACATGTACCATGACTACAGATTCAACACATTGTATCGACCATAGAAGTTACGAAGTGATGACTTCAGACGAGACTGCTGATATACTTGTTTCATCAACTTATTTGTTAATAATTTACCTCGTTTTAGAAATTGTTCATACATAGAGCATGCTCTTGCGCATCGAATCAACTGAGAGATATAAACCCCGTATGCAGGTGATGAAGGTATATTGCTGCATAAGTAAGGGAAGTTGACGATTGTCAATTAACAATGGTTATTTCCATTCTTATGTCGAAACGATATATCCCAGTGAACTTGAATTAAAAGATACCACAGAGTCTGACACATCTGTTTCATATATGGATATTTTACTAGAAAAAGAAGTTAATGGTAACCTAACAACAAAGCTTTATGACAAACGTGATGAATTTTATTTTTCAATCGTCAACTTCCCTTACTTATGTAACAATACACAATACAACCTGCATATAGGCTTTATTCTCTCAGTTGGTTCGATACGCAAGAGCATGCTCTTCGTATGAACAATTTCTAAAACGAGGCAAGCTATTGACAAACAAGTCGATGAAACAATGATATCAACAGTCTCGTTTGAAGTCATCATTTTGCAAGTTATATGGTCGATACAATGACCTTGTCAGCAAAGTCAAATGCTGACTAAATGAATTATGTCAAATGTTGACTGACGTTTTTCACACTAATTGTTAGGCCATTATTTACACACTGAATTGTCTACGGTTTTTTCGTTTTTTTTCCCGATCATGACAATGAGCACACCGCAGGAGATTCTCACTCCTCCATGGCACCTGATCCCGCCTCGGATGTTTTTGAAGGTCCGTGTTTGCTCTGCTCCCGATTTGCATTGTTTAAATGGACTTTGAGCTTGACTGTTCTTTATATCCATATTTCATAAGTTTTCTTTGTAATTTTTATGTATTGTTTTATAGATGTGCAACCTATTTTTATGAATTATAGAGCATGAAATGGGCGTGAAATCCTCATATAAAAATGTGGTTTCGAAGTATCTATTGAACTATATCACATTCGTGTATCGAATGTTGGAAACATTGAAAGACTTTTGTTCGTGATTGAATAAAAATTGAGTTGTTATTTATAAAATAGATTCTAAATTAACAAAGAAAAAAGGGAAAAAAGAATCCATAAACGTACTGGATAAAAATATTAATGCAAGTACATGTTCATTAATCGTATGAGTAGTCAGTATATAAAATTCAAAATGGTTGTTTTAAAGGTATATATTAGTATGTAAAATGATATAACATCGCAAGGGTTGCTTTGATTTCATTTCATTTCGCATGTATAACAATACTTTTAATTAAAAATGCTATCTAAAATATAACACACAAATGTATATATAAAAGTCAAGTTCCTGCCCCCTTTTAATGGCACTTAATAAACGGGGAAAATTTTCAAAACACTTCTTCCACTATGCATAAGTTTTATCATTTCCATGGACTGATATCCCAAGTATAAAATGGGCCCTAAAGGTTTGACGCTCGCTTCGAACTCTTGAGGCCCAAGGGTTCAATTCTTGTTCCAGGTGCCGTGTCAAAAACTAAGACATTTAACGCGGCTAGTGGCTGTTCCTTTGCTAAGTCTTCGACGTTTAAAGTAAAAGTCATAGGTCCTTTGGATATGACCTTGAAAAAGAAGGTCCAACAATAATGAAACCATGTAAAACTCAAGATTAGGGCACTTCAACTAAAGCAGATAATCTCTTTATCTGGGTGAAAAATTCTAAATTTGCGTAAAGCAACATTCAATTATCAATCATATGTGACGTTAGGGAACTCCTCTTCCCCTTTGCGATTAATTTTTTAAGACAGAACTGCTGTTCTGTATCTAATAATGCTACCAAAGATGTGTGCTGCTTCCTGAAATCCAAATAGATTGAGTTCTCTCAACACCCAGGTAACACAAAATTCTTAGATCTTATGTCACTCATAAAATATGAGGGTCCTTCAGAAAGGTTGAGGCGAGAATTCCCATTATGATCCCATCAGTAATTCCCTATCTATAAAAGATACATATGTACTTATAGAAAAATAATTTAATAACACTCATGGCAAATGTATCTTCCTATCTCCAAGTATTTGTTTTTTCTCAATTCTAGCAGACAGTTCAATGAGAATTGTCTTTTTTTTATTTGTGGTCTTTGGATGTTTTTTTAAAGATATTCATAAAATCATTTCCACTTTTTATATAATAAATATCGCGATATGCATGTCAAAAATGATGCAAATAAATTTCTTGGAAAATACGAACATGAACCATATTTATATTTATTTAGTTATATATATAGTCACAAACTAGAACGAAAATTACAACCTGGACCATATCACTTTAAGCATACTTTTATAATGCCTCAGAAATCTAAATTTTAAGAAAGTTTAAGAAAATCTAATAGAAGGTTTTATGAATTTCACAAAAGGCAAGTCAGCTCATTCAGTTTAAGAATTGGTAGTTAATTAAAACATTTGAATAGATTAGGAATCTTTATCTTATTGATCTGCTATGAAATATTGCCTCTGAAACGAAATTGTTGTCGATATACAGTGCCCACCGTCCAATCCGACAACTGTGCAATCCGGCAAACTGGACTTTCCGACCTCATATTCTATTCCCAAAAATTTCTTTATAATTTATATAAAATAAAACACTGCATATTTCGACCACTGTATATTCCGAATCCAGGCGCTTTTTTGTCAACAAAACTAGATAATTACATTATGATTTCACCTGTGTAATACGGCATAATTACACGGGTGTGCCGTAATTAGCCGCTGGCCAGGTAACATTAATGTTCCGTATAGTAACAAGATTGGTCTACTTGGAGAGTAGTTAATTTCATGTACGAGTTTGAAAGTGTTTATTAAACAATTAATGAACAGTTTTTTTTTCAAAATTAAAAATTAGGCAATCAATTTTTTTTGTTGTTATCAATTTCATTCTCGCATTGACAAAATAGCATGCACGCGACAGAGAATAAAAAAAGCATACATGATATTTAGATCGCCTTTACCTTACAGAATTCATAAGATTTTTGCTTGAAATTAAAATCAGACTTGCAGTCAGAGTCCTTCAGAAGGACATGTCAAAAAAAAAAAAAAAAAAAAAAAATTGAGAATGGCGAACTACCGTGTAAAATATAGACAATACAAAATTTGAAGACAGTATATTGTCTAATAGAAAACGTTTCATAAACGTTAATATTCACTGAATTGAGCGAGATTGTGCACATAAAAGATTTGCCAGAAGCAAAATGTACCACGTTAAGTTGCCCATTAAATTTTCAAATTTTACGTCTGTTTGAAAAAAATTCAATCGCAATCACAATGTTTTAGAGTTACGTCCCG